GTTTTGAACTTAAAGGATGTGACTAGTGATTCCCAGAAGGGAGCAAGAGAAATCCCAAAATTGGACATATGGCGGAAGGGCAAAGTGTACCGCGGTCCTAATTTCATTGTTTGCCTATAGCGGCCAAACTGTTTGAATTTTTTTAATATTACTTACAAAGCTTACTTTTAAATGTGAAATCTTATGTGTGTGTGAATTTCACCGATATCGGACCATAATTGGCTAAGATATCAAACAATTAAATAAATTTTTTTCCTTAAAAAAAACAATTTTTTTTTCGAAAGTTTGAAGTGGCACAAAAATGCCAAAAATGCACCCAATGGCTCAAAATTTTTTTTTAAGTACTCTATTGTGTCTAGAATACGATTACATTACGTAAAATTCTGCAAATATATTTTATCTATATTTTTGACCACTGTTCATTGAGTGACGACCAAAAAACACGGTTTTTGAGAAAAGTTGCCTAAAATTGACAATTTTTAGTTTTTTGGTCTGAAAATTAGACAAACCCAAATTTCATGTCTTCTAAATGTGTATACAAAGTTTAAAGTGTGTATCTTTTTTCTAAGTTGTAGAATTCTTTCGACAAAAGATCCAAAACTCGTGTATATACCAGAGCTGGGGAGGATTCGAATCACATAGGATTCGAATCCAGGATTCGAATCCTTTTTGAGGATCCGAGAGCGGGATTCGAATACTTTTGAAAAAAAGGATCCGTGATCCGGATTCGCAGAGAAAATCCTAAAGGATTCGTATTCGAATCATCAATATCAGTCTCGGATCCTTTTAGAGACCAAACTACGCCGGCGCGCAAAAGATATGCTGACATACTGTCGCTTAATTGTAAAGAAGCCGTAATTGCAGCCGTTTTAATTCCCCAATTTAAATTCAGATGGTATAATATCGTAAAATGTCCTACTTATACTAAACAGGAGATAAAAAAAGTTTATTATAGACGAAGCTAGAGATTTGGACGAGTCAAACTCTGATGTATTATCAGATGAGAGTGACACAACAAATTTAGATCAATTCTTTGATTTTAGTGAAGACAAGGTACAGCCAATGTCAAATAACAATAGCGAAATGGCAAGAAACTCCTATTCATTATCAGCACCTAAAAATAAAACAACTTCAAAAATCGAATTAAAGCTGTTGAGATATTTAGAAGATAAACGTAGTAATTTACAAATGATGAATGAATATCCAACATTAAATTTTTTTTATAAAATTTAATACTTGTCTTCCTTCGTCTGGTGCAGTCGAACGATTATTTTCGTTTGCAGGTATAATCGACGCACCTCGAAGGAACGGCTTGAAAAATTTTGCTATGTAAGGCCAACCAAAAGAAATTTTTTGAAAAACTATAAATTTTTTTTAATTTTATTTGATTCTGTTTGTTTATTATTTTGTTTTGTGTATTAAAATAAAATGTATTTTTTATAGATTCTAATTTATTTATGGTTTATATTCATAGGGGGCTAGAGTCAGGACTTTTAGATCCATGGATCCCAGGTTTGAATTTTGTCAGTGATGGAATTTTTTCTATTAAATAAAAACAAATTCTAATGCATAAGTAGGATTCCCCAATCGACTCTGTTGGATTCTAATTAACAGTGCTGCTCATATAGTGGCACTGAGAATCATTAATAAAGCCTGCATAGATCAAACATAAAATTCAAAACAAACTGACACTGGCTACTTGGGTAGAATCCACCAAAGCCATTACACCGAAAAAATAAAATGGTTTATAATAATAATAATTAATAATAATAATAATTTATTCACTTTAAAAATCGAATTACAATTTTAACTTATATTTAACAGAAATTGGTACCACTAAAGGCGAATCTTGTACGTGGGACTTATAGAAATATATTCTACATAGCATTTCTTTTTTTTTACTATTTTTTTTTATTTATTATAGATACAAATTAGCTACAGCATTGAATATTAATAATAATTGAATAATTGGATAATTGCAAATAAGTAAAGTTCTTTTTAGTTAAATGATTTTAGATTTTAGATTATAAAGACCTATCGAATTTAGGTTTTTAAATTCCACCGGAAGTGCGTTAAATATTTTAGGACCGAGATATAAAACAGCATTAGATTCGAAAGAAAATATAATTAGTGCTACAGTATAACTCTGACAGTGATTCGTATCCGTGATCCGAAAAAAAGGATATGAAAAAGGATTCGAACATTGGATCCGTGATTCGTATCACATCTCGTGATTCGGATTCGTGATTCGAATTCATTTTTCGAGGATTCGTCCCAGTTCTGGTATACACTACATTACTGTAATTTGATTTTTTTGCGATTTCCAGTTTTAAATTTCTTACATATCTAAATTTATAAGGCTTAAAATTTATTAAATTGTATTTTAATGACTTGTTATAAGACGTTTCTTGAGTTTTGTGCAAAATATAGAATTACCGCCAAATTAGCCTGACGTTTAAACTTCAAACGGTCATATTTTTACAAATTGAATCGCTTGATTAGTGTTCATCGGCATAGATTTTTAATAACCGCGTTCAGCAAGCTCTGTGTACACGTGGCTTTTCGAACTTCTTCAGCAATTTATTGAGTAAGTACGTTCCTAAATTAAGAAAATTCTATAACAGTGCTATAATTTTTTTGTTTCTAGGTTGCAATGGCTGGCCTGTGTTTATTATGTCATCAGACACTTGCAGAGGGTGAACTATTGCAGATTTGCAATGCGACCTATGACATTCGAAATATAACCGAAAACTACGCATTTTTTGTGCTTAGAAAATTACTCGTAAAACGAGTAGTTTTTTCTTAAATCCAACATTTTTCCTTTTTTTTTGAGCAAAAACAAGCACACTGTCGATTTTTTCCGTAATTTGGGCACTTTACAGACTAAAAATATATTAGAATCAGTAAGTTTAATGAGAAACGAGCTTACTTTCTCTCCCAATTGCCAGAAAATTCGAGTAGCTTCAATTCTCGCGAGAATTACCGATCTTTGCACACGTGCGCTCAGAAAACAATGGATGCTAGAAAAAATGTATATGCCACAGTTTTTCGTGTCTTTTTTTTTTCTCTATCATCTGACGGAAACAGTTTTCTATTCAGATAATTAGTTTTCGAGTTAATTAAGAAAAAGTACGAGAAATTAAGAAAAAAATTGTTTTGCAATTTTTTTCAAAAAGTTCGGAACGTAACTAGAAAATACGTATTTTTGTCATGCATATTATATCTTCTCCCATTTCAAGTTTTCTTGTAAATAACTAAAAACCAGATATTAGAGAACAAAAAGCAAGCTTATTACCAAGTTGGAACTTACACTCAGGCTTAGGATTAATTTCCTAACATTTTTAAAGTATACCTTTTTGTGTATTTTTTTGTGCTCTTTTCGATGGCGAAGTTAGTTTTTTCAAATATATTTTTTTTGTTAGATGTTTTCGGAAAACCCGGAAAAAATCATATGGGAAAAAAATTAAAAAAAAAAACTACGCCTTCCGGTTTACTGCGAATTCCCGAAAAATTATGGCAGATTTCGCCGCGGGACTTATTTTATTTGAGAGCCAACAAAAAAATAAGCAACTTCTCTCATGGGCACATATGTCTAACATGTATAATTTCGCCACAAATTCATCGCAAATTTCATGTCCATGGTTCTGATAAAAAAAAAAAACGAAAAAACGACTTTTTGGTAAAAGCACTTCTGGCGGCGAGAAATTCGCCATTAAAACTACCTGTGCAATGAATTTCCGAACTATTTTTGCCTCCTCTTTCGAATGGTGCATTTATTTTCACTATCGGAATGATATTTGCCCAGATAATTAGCATTTTTACAATGGAAAATTCCGGAAAATCCGGTTTTTCCTAATTTAAAAAAAATTGAAAAACTGCTACATCTTATTTTTCTTTTTTTCGGAAAGATCACATCAAAATACACAAGGTCCTTTTTGTTTCATCCAATTACAAATTAATGTCAGCTCGAAGAGGCTTTTTTTGGTTATTTAATTGGCTATCATTGATATTATTACAATGTGATTGATAATAGCTGACTTTTTCCTTTGGTGCCCTCGAATCTTTTACAAAGATGGCGTTCTAACACCGATTTAATTGAAATATCTTCCCTTTTAAGTAATAACAATCTGTAAATTTAACTCTAGGAGTATGGTGAAGAAATATAGTCATATAGTAATAAATGTAAATTATATAATAAATATTATGTTTTTTTATTAGAATTAATGTTCGTTCGTATTATTTGTTTAAAATAAAATATATTCGTGTTATTAATTTTTTATTTTCCCGACAATCGTAGAAAACATGTTGTTTTTAACAAAAACGTAGTTTCTTTGCACAATTGTAACTACGAGAAAGAGTTATTTATAGGGCACCGTTTTTAAAGAACTCTAGCTCCCTTAGTAAGCGATAGGGCGCTTTGCGTCAAATCGATATAAAATGAGTTTCCTTTTCTGGCCGCACTGTACAGGGTGTCCCCGGATGGATTGAAAAAGAGGAGGAAAAACTTTTTTTAGATAAAATCACCTTTTTGAGAAAATGCTACGATTCATAAAAGTTTCTGCTTGTTTCAAAACTAATAATAATTCAAACAGAAGTTGAATATATCTCTGCTTTAGTGAAATAACGACAAAAAGGTAGAAAATGCCCTTTTTGATCCTTATTTCACTAACACAAAAGACATTTAACTTCGGTTTGACCTATTATTACTATTTTGTTTGAAACAAGCGAAACCTTTTATGAATAATATTATTTTCCCACAAAGGTAAAACTAAAAAAAGACTTTCCTCTTTATCAATCTATCAGGGATCATCCTAGTTTCTTTATTCTCTTTAAATATTATAAATTCTAACTTATAGGATTCGAATTCTACACAGTATAACATAATTCCGCGTTTTGTTAATCTTTAAGTGTATCTTTATTTTATCTGAACGATATTTTATTCCTAAATTATTATTACATTTAAATAAGAATTTTAAAAAGTTCATCAATAATTTACGTACCTCGAATTGTGATCGCTTAAATATCCACGTTCTCGTTCTCTGTCCTTTTCTCTCTCTCTTAACAATTCGTTTCGATCACTATAGTAACCATCTCTGTCTCTTTCTACTCTATCTCTAGGAGCGGTATTTAGTCGATGAGATAGTGGTAAAGTTGAGGATTTGTTCATGGAAGCACTGGATGATGGTCCTGAAAATGTTCATTTTATACAGGATTCTCATTCGACTAATCATTTAAAAAATGAGTTTTATAAACATTGCTGTACAGTTGAAACATTTTTAATTATTTCTATATTGTTTTGAAGTAAATGTTACGACAATGACTTAAAAACAATCTTGGGTTAAACTTGAATAGACCAAAATTTGATAAAAAAAAAACCACAAAAATTGCCGGGATGAAGAAAATTGCACCAAATTTTTGAGTTTGGAAAAATCGTAGTAGGAATATTACAAAAGGAGAGACCGTTCAGACAGAAAAAAGAAGAATTCAAGATTTTTGAAAATTTAAAATGTAATTGTGGTGTTATTATCGATAAAAACTGAGTGCATTATAAAATGGTTTTATTGTGATGAGGAATTACCAGAGTATTTTGGTATTTGGTGATAAAATTATTGTTATACAAACGATCTCAACGTCGCAAATATCCGTCGTATACAGGTAATTTCGTCAAAGAAACAAGTCTTAACAATTTAGCTCCTAGATATTTTTGATTTAGAGATGATAAGGGATTCTCAAAGCTTCAATTTTAAATTTGATGACAGAAATCTCTACTTGGGTAAAGTTTCCTAAAAACAATACATAAGGTTTGACATAAATGACATGCCTAGAAAATCTGAGACTAGAATCGCTCCAGAGTCCTAAATTTTTATATTCGTGCAATAATGGTAAAACATTGTGTTGGATGTTAATTTTTATGGTGTTACGAAGATTATGTCATTACATCAGATTTTTTTGAATTTAATTTTAAGTTATGGTCTAAAGAAATGTTAAATTTAAATCGGTATTAATTTAGTTTACAGGTTATTGAAGCATTAAAGGGAAATACCAAATTATTTATGTATATATTTTCTAAACAGATTGGAAGTAAGAGGACATTATTTGAGTAGATGTATAATGTACAGTCTGTTCGCTATACCTACGCGGGTTTCGGATTAAAAATTTGATGAGTATTTCCAGGTAAGTACCCGAAAGTTTGACCTGTTCTTTGGAGAAATATCAACTGGTTAAATGAAATGAAAAATAATGTACAACTTTTTAATTAAATAATAATGGAGAATATTTTGTATAATTGAGAGCAGACTTAAACTTCTTCATTAATGGAGTGTAATGTGGCTATTATAAACCTAATAATAATTTTATATTACACTTCACAAAGAAAATATGGTCTATTTATAATAAGAGGATTATTTAACTTAAATAAAATATTTTCTAACATAAAAATTTGTTCCATGTAGAGAATTTCAAATTAAAAATAAAAAAATTAAACTTGCCAACAAAAATGAAAATCAGTCATTATCATCCAAAATATTATAATCGTCATCATCACTGTCATCACCATTAATTGTTATTATGACTTATTTCTTTTATTTTATTTTCACGAGTCCACCAATATTCTATTAGTTTTTCGCACTTGGATATAGAGTTAAGCCACACTTCTGGAGTTGCAATTGAAATTGCTTTTCGCCAAGTTTCCCGAACAGCGTCGTCACTATAACCATTGGACCCAATACGGTTGTCATAATATTGTTTTGCTATTCCCCATATATATTCGATGGGATTAAACTGGCAATGATACGGTGGCAGACGTAAATCTTGATGACCGTAACTTTCAATAATCTGATCCATAACAAAGGTTTTTGGTTTTGCGTGTATATTTGCCAATCGTAATAATTCTGATTTTAATATATATTGAGGAAATGGTATGTTCCTTTGTCAACCATTCTTTAATTTTATCAACAGTCCAAGAATTCGTTGGACTTTTGTTTAATACTTTAGAATGGTAAGGTGCATTGTCTAAAATAATTACTCTGGGCTCACTTACACCTGGGAGAAGTTTTTCATGCAACTATTTTACAAACATTTCTCTGTTCATATTATCGTGATAGTCACTGGATTTTGATTTAGATGAAAATATTAAATCAGCATCTTCTATAAACCCCGATTTCCCTCCTGCATGTAAAATTATGTGTCGCTTGCGTTCCCCATCGGTATATTTAATGGACTTTACGTTATCATCTTGCCATATTCTCTTGGTTACACCCCTAGAAAATATCCATGTTTTTCTAAATATATAAAATTCGCCCCTTCTTCTTTAAATTTAGAATATTATTTTAGAAAGTTAATTCTCTTGTGCACAACAGAACTTCTTTCACAAAGGGCCTTTCTGTTATCCTCCTTTTGAAATTTGAAACCCAAGTTATGTATCACTTGCCATAGACTTGTTCTGCCAATGTCGTCAAATTTTCTATCTATTAATTCCGAGAGAATTGTATTTAAGGTCACATGTTCCTTGTTGGCCCTCATTCGATAAATGGTATCACGAATTTCAAATTTCTTTCCATCTGGAATATCTTTCGTTTTCAATGATGGGTGAGTTTTGCGGTGATCTTCTTTCGGCAGTTCACTATTGTGATTTTGTAATACTCCTCTTAATTTGGTTTCACTAATTCCTAGAGCATCGCATACGCGTTGTTGTACAGACATTACCGATTTTAAAGGACCGCCATTTTCTTTTTCATCCGTAAAATACTTATGTACACTACAAATTAGACTATCTACATCTAACACACGTCTAGGCATTTTTAAAATTTCCACTAAATTTACAATATACATACAATGTCAACACTTCCATAGAATCAATTTAACTGCAATATTTGTAACAAATATAATACCTACCCTAATGTTATTTTAATTTAAATCTGACCATTAGGCCAGTTTTATCTAATTTTTTGGGAAGAGGCTTATTGGAACTGGTTGTCAATGACTAATTTGCATAATTTTGTTAATCCGAAACCCGCGTAAGTATAGCGAACAGACTGTAAAGAATTGTGAAACTTAAAAAAGTTGATGAAAATAGAAAAAAGGGTACAAAGAGAATTTTATTTAAAAAGAATATTATAAAAAAAGCAGGAATCAGAGGAGAATGCAGAGGTGAGCAGTCGGCGAAAAGCGCAAAACAGAAATCAGAAAGAAAGACCAGACAAGAGGGTGTCAGAGTAGAAGGCAGGAGAACGGGAGGCAGAGAAGAACAGAAAGCAGAGGAGAGCAGGAGGGAGAAAGAAAAAGAGGACCTAGGAATTATTAGTTATTTAATAATAATATTAAAATAATTTATTTTCAAAAAAAAAAACAAAAATACATATTAATAATAATTAATAGACTGATTTTAAATATTTAAATTAATAGAGGATAAATCTTAATTTTGTACCAAATGAACGTAATATGTTTATCTCACTTAAAATAGCATTTTAGATAGGTCCCTAGAATTATATATTCGTTTATTCTAAAGTGACAGTTATTATAATTTAAATTTTAATTATTAAAGAATGGTTTATCACAAAAGAATGGTAAGTAAAACGTTTTTTTGAGTTAAAACAATTTTGAATTTCAGGAAAGACTTCAGATATAATTTTATAAATTCCCAGTGATTTTTTTATTTTTAAATTATTAATTATATTTTTTATTTCATTTTTATTAGTAGGATATAAAACAAAACGATTTGGAACAGAAATTTTTTATGTTAATTGTCTTAAGTAAGTCGTTAGATCCAAGGAGTCAGTTTAGTTTTTTTTCTAAATATCTGAATATTAACAATACTTATATTTTAGTTATAATAACTCATAATAATAATACTACTCTTACTAATTCACTCCAATATGTGTGAATTTTAGCCACACAAGCTGAGCTTGTCCGAGGAAGGGACTACTATTATTATTTGGTGTTTTCCCACTTCCGCGGCCGTTATTCTCACTTTGGCCGTATTTCTTTTTGTCCCATTTCGGCCGCTTGTTCTTTTCATGCATTTCAGGTAAAAAGTTTCTTTTCGGCCGGTTAATATACAGGATTATTCACTATAAATTAGCCATCCTTATTATCGCATACACAATAAAATATTTTAAATAAAAGTTGTGTGGTTATGATTGAATTTTGTTAAAATGGCATCAAGAATACAGTTATGTGCAGATTTCACGGAATACAACAAAAAATATCTTTTAAATAGGATATCTTGTATATTAAGAAGGTAAAGTTAGTTAGAATTTCGTTATTTCCACATTATAGGATTAGGAAATCCCCGAAAGGGTCCTGTGGTTTATGTCCTAGTAAATTAGTATCAAATTTGAAGGAAATTTTACTTCTTGGCCTATAATAGAAATAAATTTCGGTGAGATTCAGCGTCGATCATTTTAAGAGAGTTTATTTAATAACTTATTTGAAACCGTGGCAATTTTGGGAGCAGAATTATTTATAAAAAAATTATTCAAGACATTCAATTTAAGCAATAGTTGTAGAAGAACCATCACAATAAAAAGGACTGGTTGCAATATCATTAATAACACTAAGTGCTTGGGTGTGTTAACATATTAAAATCAAGTAGGTAAAAAAATGTGCTCGAGATTTACAAAAATAATACTTTTTTATATACCAATAATTAAATGTTACTATTGTTATTAGGTTCTTACGGTAGCTAAAGGGAACTTACTTTTTCTAGAGGGGTAAGGACTTCTTTGGGTAGATCCTGGTAAACTCTCTGCAAATTCTAAAACGTACTTACTATTAATAATACATTGTTGTTTTCCGTATTGTTTCAAGATTTGACCATTAATTGAGGTAAATAGGTAAAATTGTGGTTGGTGTGATAAGATATAATAATAATAATAATAAAAATGTGAACGTGATGTGAGTAGAAAAACACATAAAATGGTGAGATCCAGAAATATTTTTATATATAATACAGAAAAAATTTGAAACCAGAAAGGAATTAAATCAAGTCAGACTTATAAATGATATTAAATTATCAATAATTAGTATAAATAATCATAATTAAAATGGGATAAATACGCACGGCGCGGCGACATTGCGCTTAGTTTAAAACTGAACACGTAACCAACGTCCAGCGGTTGGGTTAGTAGAGAACAACAAAAAATAATATTATAGCAAGCAGTTGTAAGAAGGTAAAGACATACCACTTTCATTCGAAATGAAAAGAACAATACTTTTTTACAGAAGTTAAAGATAAAAATGTTTGTTATGTAATACTTCGGTCTCCGTTGCTAAAAAAGGAAATATTGAGAGATATCATAAAACTGTACATTTTAATTTTAAAAAATAATTCCCACTACATTCTGCCGCCAGAAAGGAAAAACTGAAACAGTTAAAAAAGCAGTTAATTGGACAACAATCAATATTTTTAAGAACAGTCGACAAAAATAAGGCTGCAACTGAAGCATCGTACCGTGTGTCCCAGATAATTGCGCAAAAAAAGAAACCTTATGAAGACGGGGAAATGATAAAACAGGCGTTTTTAGAAGCTGCTGATTCGTTATTTGCCAACTTTAGAAATAAAGACGAGATAGTTTCAGCTATAAAATCTATGCAACTTTCTGCTAATACAGTAATGAGACGTGTAGAAGTAATGAGCAATGATATTTTTTAACAGTTAAGAACTGACTTAGATAACTGTGTTTATTTTTCACTTCAACTGGATGAATCAACAGATGTCGTTGACACTGCCCAGATGGCCGTGTTCGTCAGGATGGTTTTTAGTGATTTTACGATTAAAGAAGATCTTTTGAAGTTTATTCCACTGAAAGGACACACTACTGAAGAGTTGTTTTCTCATTTAAAAAAAATATTATTTCTTCCGAGAAAATTCCAATATCAAAAATGGTAGGCTTGACAACCGATGGCGCTCCAGCTATGGTGGGTTGTGATAAGGGTCTGGTGGCGTTATGTCGTAAAGATGAAACTTTTCCGCAATTTCTCTGTTACCACTGCATTATCCATCAGCAAGTATTATGTGGAAATTTCCTGAAACTAAACAACGTTATGAAACTGGTGGTAAAAATTGTGAACAAGATTAGAGCTCAAGCGTTACAAAGAAGATTATTCAAAACCTTGGACGCTGAAGTTGACTGTCAATACGGGGACCTACTCCTTCACTCTGAAGTCCGATGGTTAAGTAGAGGACGGGTGCTGAAACGTTTTAATGATGTCCTATCTGGCATAGTTCAATTTTTCAAACAACGCGAATAACCGACTCCAGAACTAGAAAATTCAATATGGCTTAGAGATTTTGGTTTTCTCGTGGACATTACAGAGAAATTAAACGAACTTAATTTGCAGCTTCAGGGGAGAGACAAAGAACTAGCGGAAATGATTTCTGATATAAAAGCATTTATCAAAAAGCTGGAGTTTCGGGAACAAAACCTAATTAACAGCGATGCCAAGCATTTTCCTATTCTTTCAGAAAAAATATCTCAAAATCCATTAGAACCCTATGACAGCAAATATCATGTAGAAATAGTTTCTACCCTGAAGAATAACTTCAAAAATCGTTTTAAGGACTTCAACGAAATGGCTTTAGTAGCGCAGTTTGTTGTTTCACCCTTTATGGAAATTGATATTCAACAGTTTGCAACTTGTGTTATGCAGAACTTTGGCGAAGACATCGCTGCAACAGAAATGGAAGTAATTGATTTTCAAAATGATTAAGCCTTAAAATCGTTAGTCTCAAGTACCAAATGTATCTGGCCTATTGTAAGTAAAGACAAATATTCAGTTCTATGCCGTGTTGCCTTGAATCTTCTTTTTCCAATATGAAGTTTATTAAGAACAAATATCGCAATCGACTTACAGATGAACATTTGGATAATTGTATTCGAATAGCTGTATCAAAGTATACTGCAAACATTAAAAAAACTATCGATGAGTCTGAGTGTCAGCCTTCTCTTTGAACGTGCTTTTTTATTTTTCAATGTTTATGTTCATGATTGTGCGTTACTTTTTTGTTGTTATTATTAACTATTTTTAAATCTTACGTGACATGCCGTTGTGGCTGGATAAAAGTTTGTGTTTTTTTTTCAAACACCTTCGTTTGGTAAGTAGGAATGTAGCTATGAACAAGTACGTACTAGTAATATTAGTTATTTTGTTATTAGTTTATTATTAGTACCTATGTATTATTACCAGTTAAATAGTAAAATAAATACATATAATGATAAATTAACTGTGGATTATTTCATTTACGTTGCGTTACGTGGCTTACGTATGGGTAGCTCGCTGTTTATTCCAAAATTAACAAAGTAGCTCAACACATTTAGAGGTTGGCGACCACTGCTTTAGAGATTCAAAGAGTAATGTCGAGGCTGGTTATGGGATTTCATTGAAGAACTGAGAATACTGGCAGATCCAAATAAAGTAAAATTAGTTTGGGTACCATGTAATCAAGGGATCTAGGGTAATGAAAAGGCTGACAAACTTGATAAAAGTGGTTAAAAAGAAATATAAGAACCTGATATAAACTTTGGAGTACCAAAAATTACAGTTTGATGTAGGAGAAAACACAACAAACAAGCACCTGTGAAAACCTTTATATGAAGACCATGTTTCTAAAAGAACAATAGAACTGCTCCCTATAAATAAGTATTAGTTGAAAACAATGATAGGGCTCATGGGAATACATCGGTAAAGGGATACCTCGACAAAATTATTGTATCGACTCTGTCAGAAACATCTAAACAGGTCGCAGTGTTTACGAAGACCAGGTCAGACTGAGTCAGACAAGCCCAGAAAAAAATACATATTCGAAATATTTCAATTCTGTAGGTGTGAAAGAGAAGACAAATTTAAGTTATTCCAAAATCCAACTTAGACTATAGTATTATAGTATCAAACTACTACTATGCACTGACAAAATGTTCGAAAAATGTTAAAGTCAAAAGTAGAACAACTCACTAAATGATACGTTTTGTACAACCAATTTGGTTTTAGAAACCACCGCTCAACTCTCCAACCTCCTACTCTTCTATCATCAAATGTCTAGATAGAACAACTAAATAACTTAATGCCAGCTCCACCATAAGTTTGGCCAAGTTGTTCTTAAAAAATAAGGAATAAAATTATCTACATTAATTCATCTATTTAAAACTGGCAACTGGTAATAGAGGTACTTTCCAGTAGTACTTCATTAATTTAATCCTTTTGTACGATATTGATAGGCAATCTAATACAGAAGACTGTGATGGAGACATTAATATTAAAAATTTGTTACGTTTTTAGATTTAACCTCGATGACAGTTAATAAAAAAACTACAATTAAGTTTACAATAGATGAAACAGAAAGGTAAGGTCTCTTGATTGATCACATTTTTTTGTTGACTTGTTTTTAATTCCAAAACTGGTTTATAAGTTACACAAAAACATTCTCTAACTCTTCGCTGGTTACTTACCGAGATTTTCCATACTCTGAGTCAACAAAGCTTCGAATGTATGTAAGCTATAACTTTCTGCGTCCATTCCTTTTGCAAGAGTATTCCTCAGATGCATTTCATATTCTAAAAGCAGCCGGCTCGTTGGAGAACCAGGTGTTGGAGTATTATTGGCATTCTAAAATGAAATCTTTATTATTATCCATTTCATACATAAACTAGGGAAGTAAATAATAATAAAGAATAATTATAATAAAAATAAGTCTGATAACAACGTGACCCCTGAATTTCTGTATCTCCATCTCAGGCTGCTTTTGACGTCATATTAAACTATTGTGAATAAAACCGCATTATTAATGATAGCATCTAAGACAAGAATTATTTTTTCTTTAACGAGAAAACATCAATTCATTAAAACGGCATAAATTTTCTTAGTTTTAACTCTGCTGTTTTTATAATGGTACTGGATCTTTTTTACCGATTGATAGTATGATGAAGTTTTAACCAAGACTAGAAGCTGAACTTAGAAAAATCGATGTCAATGGCCAAGCAATTTTTCAACAACATTCTAGTCCATGTCACGTGATAAAATATTTTATTAAATTACGATTTTATGCCTTAGTTGACTAGGAAAGTCAGTAGATCTAAATTCTGTCAAAAATATTGTAAAAACTTGACTTCGTAAAATATATTATACAACAGAAATAATTTAGGTTGTAATCTAAATATGGTTTAGAGATCAGCAAAAATTGTTAAAAACTTGTTTAATCTATGCCAAAACGTGTTAAAAAAGTTATCAAAGCCTACTAAAACAATTTAACCTTAATATTATTATCTTTTCTCTTTGCTTGTGACCAATAAATTATTTATTTAAATTATTTATTGTCTTTGCATCAATTGTAAAGGAGGTATATTGGAGTATTCTAACTAAAAAATAATAATTTAATGTCAGAACAAGCTGTCTAAATCGTGGCCTGACTTGAAAGTTTTGAGAAACAACCAATCTAGCGATTCTAGAGTTTAAAGTAGATTTAGAGAAGCCAATTTCAGAAAATTCCAGGTGCCTAACTCTTGTAGATTATAGATAACTACCATTTACATCTGTCGACTTTGCATACACGTCATGTTACAGACAGAAATCTGCAAAATGTTCTCTCCAGAGTCCGTAGTGTTCGAATATGTCAATTCGGTTTTTTTTACTCTTTTTATGTATCCCTCTGCTCTCCCCTAGTTTCTTACAATGAAAGTTTCCACTAGTTTATACCAGAAGACAGCACTTAGCGAGGCATTTTAGTCACTAATTTTGGCAAATTTCAAAAAATCATTAACAAGATATTAAGAGCTCAAATTTTGGAATTATATTAAGAATAGTGCTGTTGAGGAATGCATTTATTTTCATTATATTATTTCAAAATTTAAAGCTCTTTGATTTCATTTTCTCAGAAACTGGAAAAAATGGAGTTAAAACTTTAAACTATCTAGAATATTACCTAATTGATTTTGACAAAATTAAAATTTTTTAACAAAATTACTTTATGAGATATCCTTGTTCGAAAATTATAAGAAGTGCTATATTCACCTTAATTATTTTATATTCTGTAATTTATGCCCATCATACTATCTGATCCAAATCAAAGCAATAATCAAACAAGTCAAAGTCAATTTTTTACAAGATCAGACTGCTCTGTATATAAAAATTCAGAAGACTATGGAAAACAAACTCTAGAAGGAAGTGATGAAAACAAAGATGATAATGGAAGGCATAAGAAGAAAGAAAAACATGGGGACACACAGTGAAAACCATGAAAAAACTGGTAGAGTTTTTAGAAATGCATATAATATCAGAAAGTTTGCCAGATTTGAAGACTAGTAATATCTGTTGCTGTTGATATGCTTAAATCAAAGAAATCCATTAACTCATCAAGAGACAATGAGAAAAGAAATGCAGTCTCTTACAGAGAAAACAATATTTGGACTATCGATAATAATTTACCTCCTGGAAAGAAAACTATTTCTTGAAAATGGGCTTAATAAAATGAAGACAAATCCAGATGGTTCCATATAAAAGTATAAAGTAAGTTAAGTAATAAATGGTTATTCAGAAAAAAAATAAGGTGAAAACTATGATTAAACTTTTAGACTAGTTCAGATTATGTAAATAAATCTGGTAAAAGTCATATACTAATTTTTGGCATTTCTGTTTAATTTAATAAATTAAATATTAATTCTGATACATAGGTTGATTAACAGTGCTGTTTCTCAAGTGGCGCTGGAAAACAATAACAAAATACACTGTTTTATTGTTAATACCCCCGGAGATACCAATAGTCGATCACAACAGAAACCTGCCAAAAATATATAACTGGGTGTTGCGATATCCGATCGTAAAAAGTCTACAGCTGAAAAGTTCGTTAACTAAAATTTAATACAGGAATTTGGAGCTTTGTTTTTGAGATACAGGGTGTTAAAATTTTAAAATCATAAAAATGATTAGCCATAAATCTAAAATGCATTTTTATTTAGTTTTCAACTATATGTTAACACACATAATTTAGTTGAAAAGGATGCAGACTCACACGGTCGAATCTAGCTACAAAATGACAAAGAGAATTTGTGCTTTAGAGATTCCGGCAGATTCCTCTAATCAGGCTTGGGTACAGCCACTGGCTCTCCGCGATCAAGCTTAGGGTCCAGTCTGCATTCTTTCTCTATTTTTAGGTTCCCATGGCTGTACTGAAACTCAGATGGATGCCCTACTCCTTCCCAATCATATATTCACTGAGCTAAGTCCAGCGGTCACCCACCCAAGACGTGACCGGAGACATCACTGCTTAGGTTAGAAACAGATTAAGGGAATTTGGAATCGGAGCCATAATTCCTGTTACTACTTCATTGTTAACCATGTGGTACGTTTAAGATTCGCAAAAGAACAAATTGCAATATTAACTATTAGGCTGATATTCCTTTTAGGAATAAGTCACGATTTTTACTTTTTAGATCCATTTCGCATACGTGCAAGTAAACGATTTGCTGAGTCTAACCTAAGAACAGTCAGCAATTTTGGAGCTGGCTCGATTGTGATATGGGGAGGCATCTGCTTTGAACGTCATAGGGAGCAAACAGTATTTCGTAGGAGATCCCCGACACCTAAACGCTATATAAGGAAGGTTCTTGAAGAAAATATATTGTCCTTTGTTCCAATTATTGAAGATCATTTTGTTCCTATGCAAAACAAGGGGCGGGCATTGCTAAAATATTAATGGAATACCTCCAAGAAATTGGTATTCAAGTTTTAAATTTGCCAGCAGTTTTTCCAGACTTAAACCCAATTGAATATATTTGGGATTACCTAGATAAGCGCATAGGCGCTTGTAATATCGCTGTAGATAACCTTGATGAGGTATAAAATACTTTAAGAGAATAATTATAAAATTTAGATTTAAATTATATGAAGGCTCTGATAAGAATTCTTCCACGAAGAATTGAGAGATGTCATTAAGGGTAACAATACCAGATAGTAAAATGCTAAAATTGCCCTTGGAATTTTTTTAATTTGTTACTCTTTATTAATTTTTGTAAATTCGTTATTTTCATTACTATTATCTGCTAGTCTTTGATTTTAGTGGACTGTAACGTAAAAGTTTTTTTTTTATTTTGTTCTTAAACTTTTTTGAAATGGCAGGTATACTTTTTAAGACGAGTGTATATTAAAAAAAACATAGCAAAAAGAAAAAAATATTTTTATATTAAATATTTTTATACATTGGTATCTTACTTGTGGGTGCATGTGGCGATGTCTTCCATAATGGTGCGAGGTTTGTTCGGGATCAGAATTTCCATTGCTGGAGCTGGGAGTTGTGGCATAGCATTGGTTATCGAATATAACGTTATCGGAAGGCGGAGAAAAGTCACCACCAGCTCCTCTTTCTAGTTCCAGATAGAGTCCTCGGCCTGGATAGCCCCTGCCCAGATCATGGGACGATCTAAAAGAGCCCCTACAAGCACAATTTAATTATTAGTTATCATTATAAAATCCTGGAAAGTAATACTAGCCTAGAGCTGCGATTTTAGAAGCATATCATTCAAGATGCTGTGCTTTCAAAAATAGTCAGATACTTGGGCTTTTCATTTAATATTTTTTTCATTTTCATGAAGCAGTGATATGGCACAGAGTAGTAGAAAAAAATAGTAGAAAATATTGATTGGATTTCAGAGGAAAATGCTGTTTAAAGTAGCATCTGTCAAATGAACGGGGTCTTCTAAAAGGCCATACAGGTGTACTGCGGGGTCCTCTAAAAGGCCATACAGGTGTACTGCTTATCAGTCTTTTAGTAAAGAGATTCTATGTTAGAGGACACTATAAAAACCCACTTATAAAAGATGGATGATTGACAGAAAATATGAGATAAAACAGAGGATATGGCATAGTGAAGAAAGAATTTGGTTCTTACCTACAATTGACAAATGGACGAAATGTAGGCACATTAGATTGAGTTACTACGTAAGTCAAGTCCTAACTGGTCACTGCTCTTTTAGATTTTTTTCTATAATAATATGGAAGACTAAAAATGGTCCATGCATTTACTGTGAGCAAAGGCTTGTGTACCATACTTTTTTTATTTAATTTCCAGAATTTTACCAAGGCATTCAAGGGGTTCGTTAATAAAACTGGCGTCCAAGTATTTTAGAGTCTGGGGCATCACAAGTAAGAATCCTTTTTCCCTGGAGGGAGCAAACCTATTACTGGTTAAGAGTCAAGAAATGATAGAAAGTGATGAAATGTATTTCCTGGTGAAGACCAGCGTAAAATATATTGTGATGCAAAAGAAAGAAGAAAAGGCCAGCACAAACATTTTGTGATAAAAAGCGGTTTATGTGAGGAGAGCCTTCTATAGAAAAAAAAGATAAAATTAAAGAACATTATCTAAAAGTCTTTCTTTAAAATATTTATTGCTTTGCAAAGACTTATTTGCGCTGTTGATTGGTATTATAATTATTCTAATGTTTAAAGATCAAAAGATAAATTGTTTCATGCGATCTATTTTAATGCAGTCCTGCTCTAATCCCTTTAGTCCCTTTCCACATTATTTAAGCCTTCTACGGCTTTTATTTTCCCGTTAACAAGAAAATTTAAACAAATAAATCAACCTCGCCAATGTTCAGCGTCAATCAAAGTTAATCATCATCTAGAATGTACTCGACCCGTCAATAAATCAACTAGAGATAACAATTTTGGTGCATGCATAAGATGTCTAGAATATTCGCTAACGCCACGTTTAAATATAAATAGTCAAAATTGTCAGTTATAGTTAAGATATTGTTTTGTTAACAAAAAAAAATTATCCTTTAAATTAGTTTATCTATAAGTGAGAAATAAATTAGTGTTTAAAAACCAAATTAACGTCTTATCGAAAATAAATTAAATACATTAATTTTAAATGGAGTTTTAAGTACAGAAATCGAAATTAAACTATGTGCAAATAAAATTGTATAATTCGTTCTTTACCTTGATCCAGAAAACCTAGAATTCTGAGCCATGGCTGATCGCGGGTGTGGATGTCCCGTTTCCGGTTCTGAGTAACGACCGTTGTTGTTTGGATGCCTCAGATGATGATGAGTATTGTAGTAATTATATCGTTTTCTACCCATTTCTGGTGATGTTACAGGACTTTCGGTACTCGGCATAGGCTTGAGCATTCGTTTTAACGTGTTACTATCTAAGCTCATACCTAAAAAATAAAAAACATATTTTCATTTTCATAAAAACCAAAATAAGATTTGATTACTTTACATCTAAACTCGAGGTCGAAAAAAATTATTATTTCTAGACTCTTCTTGTTGGTTACTGGAAAATAAAAAGAAAGCAATCCTAGACTATCCAAAACTTATTTTAGGATAATCTAGACTTCAAGAAAACACTAAATGATAATGTTCAGCAGTTTATCCGAGGAAGAGATTGTACTCCTACACTACTCTGTAACCAATAAATGGATGAAGAAGAAATAAGACTCATGGGAGAGTTATGTTTAGATTAAAATTGTAGTAACGAAGATTGAAGACCTGAGTATAAACGAGTATTAAGAAAAAATCATTTAGATATAGTATGTACTCACCGTTTTCCCTATTCATATCTTCAGTACTCTTAGACTTATTCCTTCTAGTATTAATGTTGTTATTGACTACATTATGGTGATGAGCAGCACGCAGTTCGGCGTCCCTTACCATATCAATCTCAGAATAATCTACGGATTTGGTATTGGTTAGCACATGGTGAATGTTGTCTCTAAGAGGTGGCCGAGTCGAAGTCGACGATGACTTGGTGTTGGGACCCAATGTACCGCCCGCTTGGGTTCCCTCCGATTTCGAGGATTCTGCCGATTGGGTTTGGGCTTGAGATTCAGTCTGGCTTATCTGAAATTATTAGCATCATATTAACCTGATTTATTAAAGAAGATTACTGAAAACTCGGTATATACACATCAATAATAAAGCCTATATACTGTTTTCAATGGATAAGAATGGACAGATAGTGCTCTTCTAGTATGAGAAAGAAAGTGCCTCAATACATATACGGAGGAAAAAGTGAAGCTTATCTAAAAGGTTAATACAATTTAGCATAAGAGGAAAGAGAAAACATGGCAAATCTAAATTAAGTTGGATTAATGAGGTGCTGAAAGATGTAAAGTCTTTGAAGATCAACAACTGAAATGAGAAAGGCAGGAGGGAATGAAAAATTAAGAAAAAGGAAAGATAACCTACCAAACTAATTTAAAACTATTTTGTATATCCTTCAACAACTAAAGAAAAGATCAGATGCTCCTTAAAAATAATTTAAGTAATTAATATTGAAAGTTTGGAACAAAATAGTAAGTAAGTTAACCATTGCATAAATGTGATATAATCGTTAAAGAAGGGAGGGAAATTCAAAGTCTTTACTACAGTAGGAAACACATAGTTATTGTTAAGGGCAACTAGTTTCTGCCAAAGGCCAACCTCAGACCTGGAAATCTTTAAAAGTTTATGTATTAAGAAGATGAAGGTTACTTACTTGAGATCCAACGGAGTTTTCAGTACCCACTGAGGCAGTCACAGTCTTTGGTCCAGTAGCTGAGTTAGTACCGGTCATAGTACTATTATCCAATTGAGGTTGTACTCCCCTGTCTCGCATTTGCCTTGTTTGGCTACCCTCCCTTTGTGCCCCTTTTGTACCTAAATACAAGATTATTTTAGTATATAGTGTAACATTCAGATCTAGTCTTGGAGAAAATAACATACTTTCATCAAATTTTATGCTTTTAACTATATAGGGAGTATGATGAATATGGATCAATATATTGATATAAATTTAAGGAGGTACAAGTACTCTGGAGCACCTCAAGATATTAAAGGTGCTTCAATAGAATCCGTGCTAGTCTTTCCACGAAGCAATGGGATTATTTTTGACTGTCAATCAGCGGAATATTAACAATAAAATATCTGAAGTACCGGCAAGAACTTTTATGTTTCTAATATAATAGAAATTTTAATTTTTAAGACCTATTAAGTCCTGACATCAATGATGTGCTTAGAGAACTGTAGGATCCAATGTAAATCTCAAAAAAATATTGCTCTTTACCATATTTCCTTTCTGGATATGTCCCCATATCAGTCTAAAATTATTGGTATAGCTGCAGTCACGAACTCATCATATATGTTTATATATATCCATTAGAGAGACTAACCTACTCACACAGGTTTACACTTTAGTGATGTTGAATATACAAGATATATTATAGGCAATTATCCTAGCAAAAATCAAATCAGATATAGGAAAAGACTGCCTGGAAGACCTAAAGAAGTTAAGAAGTCAAAACAAAGTGACTTTAACTTGGAAACTAGGTCATAGAGGACATTATGGTATTAAAGAAGCCGATGTATTAGCGCAAGAAGACCCACATAAGATTATAGCAAGCCCAGAACCTTTTTGTGAAGTTGCTATGGTATTCATCAAACAATAGTCTCAGAAATGGTGGAATTACTAAGCAGGATTAAGAAAGACAAACGAATTTATTAAATAACCGACAGCCAACTTTACGAAAGATCTAATGGATCAAAAATGACAAATCGTTAGGATAACAGAAGATCTTCTTACCGGACACTATTCCCAAATAAGGCATCAATGTAACAGAAGAAACAAAATTGTGTATATTCATTGATAAAGATGAGGAAATGTTAGTGGACTTGCTAGATTGAGGTTTTAAATCCTAGACGAAGAAAAGCGACATACTATAAATAAACACAATTATCCACAATGAGTCTTAAAAGATCCCAATGTGGACAAAAATGTCAATTGCTTGTAAAATCTATTTTATTCAAGATTAATACTGAGCATTACATGAAAGTGTTCGATATACGAAACTCAAATTATCAAAATAAACTTATTTACTGATTTACCTTGATTATATTCCCCTTGATTAGATGCAGTCTGCGTAGCACCAACGTTGTCATAGAGACTAGTGGAAGATGTTGCGGCGGTTACTTTCTCTATCCTGACTTCTGTATCTGTCGCCCTAGTTGTCGCCCTGGGAAGCGTCGAAGACCCTAAAAAAGTTTATAAATCTATTTTAATGGATTATAATATTTTTTTAGGTGTTCTCCTTAGGGCTGGTCTAAAATTGGGGCCCGGGAGCGGTATATGGGGGATCCAGCAATCGGATTTTTGTTTTCTTTCAGAAGTGAGGGGGAAGTTTGTGGTTGGGGACCTTTTTTTGTTTAGAAAATTGAATTCAAGTAGAAGAGGAAAAGTTTTTGGTTGAAGACTTTTTTTTTAGAGAATTCAATTCAAGTAGAGGAGGAAAATTTTTTGTTTGAAGAGCTTTTTTTGTCACGGTGCCCGATCTAGCGAATTGTCCTGGGGCTAGGCCTGGCTCTCGGCGGCCCTGGCCCTCCCTAAAGCAGGACTGTCTCAATCTTGTAAATTATGAGAATTTACAAATACAATACTGCATATTAGTAGTGTAGCTGTAGTGCTATGATCATAGTAAGATCTAACATTTATTAGCAATATTATTCCAATTATTGATATTCTAGGCACTACGATTACATTAAATTATTACAAAATATTAATACTACTTGTTTACATTCCTCCAAGTCTTAAAGTTGTTGATTATGAAGCCTTATTTGATTGTCTCTCCACCTTAAATTTTGTTGATTACGAGAAAGTATTTGTTTTAGGAGACTTTAATGTTCCCCAGTATGCTAATATGGCACCTCTCACTGGTCAGCTAGTTGAATTAAATGCTTTCGTAAATCTCCACGATTTCAAACAATATAATAATATATTTAACATAAACAATCGATTATTGGACTTAGTTTTCTGTAATGAATCATGCACTGTTGAAAGGGTATATGATTTGATGGTTCCTGAAGATGTCTCGCATCCTGCTTTGAATATTAATTTTCAAATATCTAATCCTCGTAGTAAACCTAATCCAGTAAATAAAAATTTACAGTATAACTTTCGTAAAGCTAATTATATGATGTTATATCAACTAATAGCTTCATGTGACTGGTCTTTTCTCAATAATGTGAATAATATTGAAACTGCATGTAAGTTATTTTATAAACAACTACATGGTATGATGGATATATGCATTCCCAAATATGTTCCAACTGCAAGAAAATACCCCACATGGTTCAAAGGACCTATTATTAGAGATATTAAAAAAAAAGAGAAAGCACGAAAAAAGTTTAAGCGCAATAATGATTTAAATGCCTTCGAAGAATTTAAACGGCTAAGATCCAAAATTAAAAAGGACGTAGAGAAAGCACATAAAGACTACGTTAAAACATTACAAGAGAATATAAAAAGAAATAGTGGGAACTTTTGGTCATACGTAAATTCTAAACGGAAAGATGGTGGAATACCTGAATTTATGACTTATGATGATTTAAATCTTTTAAACATGCAGGATATTGTAAATGGATTTGCTACTTACTTTAAAAATTCCTACAGTAATTCATCAAATTTTGATGTTGACTTTGAGAGTGATTTATCAAATAACTTACATGTACATATAGCTGAATTTAAAGAATCTGATGTGTCGAAGGCAATATTAAAGTTAAAATCTAAATTTACTAAGGGACCTGATAATATACCATCCTTCATGGTTCGCGATTGTTCCCATGCGTTAGCTATTCCTTTAAATAAAATATTTAATTTGTCATTGCGTACTGGTACATTTCCTAATGCATGGAAGAGGTCAAGAATCTGTCCTGTTTTTAAAAAAGGTAAAAAAAATTGTATTGAGAACTATCAACCCATCACTATTATATGTAATTTTGCCAAAGTTTTTGAAATTTTACTATACGATAATATTATACCACACGTCAAACATCAGATAGTGGACGAACAACATGGTTTTTGTAAGAACAGGTCAACAATAACAAATCTATTCTCATTTACACAATACAGTTCTGCAATAGTTGATGGCGGCGGTCAACTAGACGTAATATATACAGATTTTTCTAAGGCTTTCGACAAACTCGATCATAGAATATTACTTCAAAAGCTTAGCAAGTTTGGATTGTCCAAGCCTGTCATAAATTTTTTTCAATCATACTTGACAAACAGAACCCAGTTTGTTGAAGTGCGTGGATTTGAGTCTGTCGATATCTTAGTAACCTCTGGCGTACCTCAAGGCTCGATTCTGGGACCGCTTTTATTTATACTATTCGTAAATGACATTATTAATGACGTTAACGTAAAATATTTAATTTATGCAGACGATGTCAAATTTTTTTATCAGGTAGATATCTTAAATGATTGTCTTAAATTACAAAGTAATATTAATAAAATAAATAATTGGTGTTTAAAAAATAATCTTCCATTAAATTCAAAAAAATGTAATATAGTGTCATATACCAAAAAAGATTTTCCAATTCTCTATAACTACTGTTTGGATGGTGTTATATTAAATAGGCCTGATTTTGTTATAGATCTTGGGGTAAAGTTCGATAGAAAACTTACTTTTAATGAACATCTAAATGACGTGGTAAAAGCATCATTCAGAAATTTGGGATTTATCATTAGGCATGCAGTTGACCTTAATTCTATCGAAACCATGAATATGTTGTACAATGCGTTTGTCAAATCAAAATTAGAATATGCTTCAATAATATGGAAACCATTTTATGATATTCACATAAGCGCTCTTGAAAACGTTCAAAGACGATATCTAAAATTCTTGACATTTAAGATAGACGGAACATATCCACCAATTGGGATAAATCACACGTTACTTCTAAATAGATTTCAAATGCAAAGCTTAGAATGTAGACGAAAAAATCATTCGTTAATATTCCTCTATAAACTTATTAACTACCAAATTGATTGTTCCGAGTTATTAGAACAACTTGTATTTAAAGTGCCAAGAACTGAATCTCGAAACAACTTAATGTTTTATCTCCCGCTATCTCGGACAAATTTATTAAAAAACTCGCCGTTGTATTTTATGTGTGAAAACTGCAACAACCTGCAAGGTAGAATTGATTTATTTTCTTGTAAGCTTTCGCAGCTCAAAAAATTGTAAAGCTGTTTCGGTACTATTTGCTTGTGTATAGTCATTAATTTATTTAATTTTTTGTCATATTATGTAATTTTTGTTATATTGTGTAAGTTTTGTTATGTTGTGTAATTTATCTTATATCCAAATTATGTCTTATTGTGCAATATGTTATATTTATATTTACTTTTGTAATTACAATTTTTTTCCTGCTCTATAACTAGGCATTTAGCCTGTAGAGCAGTGTATTTAATAAATAAATAATAAATAAATAAATAGTGATAGAGAGGGGATACAAACTCATCTAAATGGTTCACGGGTAGTTAAAAGATGAGATATGCTTAATATTTAGTTTCTATTAAAACTTTCATAAAAATAAAAAAACGAAAGTAGTATAAAACATGTGACGAAATAAAAGTATGAAGAATTATATAAAGTGTCGTTCAAGTCTGTAAAAATACCCTGTATCTCAAAAATTAGCATTGTAGAACGCTGTGTCCCTAAATACTTTTTTTAAGTATAGAACCTTACCAGTGAAAGCAAATAAAACAACTACATTTTTTGTTACTTATGCAGCCTATTACTATAATTATATAACTAGCCAGAAAGGATACATTGGTCCAAATTTTGATTAAAATTATGCGTTTTTAGCGCCATTAACTGCCGACAAAGTTCTTTAAACCCACAGTAAACAATAAAATGATAGCAAAAACTCACTGTACATCCTGGGCACGTCCGTTGGACGTTGCGCCGTTAAATTTGAACTCACAATCCGCCCTATCCTATGATTATCCCTTTATAAATTGCCTCTTTCCTTTGAAATATAGACCGAATAAAAAGGGATTCACTTGGTGAATAAACTGTGGTGGCCTTGTGTAGTGCCCGAAAATATGCTTTCCTCTCGCGAATAGAAGACGATTTTATTGATGTCGAACTACTCAAAAACTTTTCTTTTGTAATTATTTCAATATTTTATTTATTACAGGTCATCAAATTTCTAGAGGCTTTCGACGGCTAGACAGAGAAAGCACTACTGACAGGCCAAAGATATCGGATAATAGATACGCCTTGTATACATTACACTTGTCCGCTACTTTTTTTTGACGGTACGCTCTTCCTTTGTTGTCAGATCTCTTTCATCAAATATCAAACATTAAATTTTTATTTAAAAAGTTACTATTACCTTTAATACTATCTAATAAAAAAGGAAATAAAGAATTGAAAGCATCAATATGAGTTTTTTATTAATTGCAATCACTTAAGACTTTTAAGTATCTATTTTTACATGTGTATCATATGGGAATATTAAACATTTTGGTATAAATCATTTAACTTTGGCAACCTAAGACATTTTGCTGATGTTGTCAAAGTGACAGATCAAGTTTTATTGTGATTTTTGTGGTTTTTTGTAGTTTTCAAGAATAATTTAAACCCTGAACTTTTTATTAAGGACTTTTACGATGGGGAGGAAATAAATAGTGTGCCGAAATACGCAGAATAAGAATGTTATTCGGTCATTTCATAAATAAGATTATGTTAGCATAGACGTAGGCATATACAGGGAATAAGGCTTAATTTATTTAACAGTGTAAAGGCATTTAGCACTAGCGTTGTTTATTTAAATAATAATGTTCTATATTTTCTGATCAGGTTTCCTAGAGAAATTATTCAACGTAGAATTTGGCTGCAAAATCTATGCTTGGTGGAGGAAAACATTATGAAAATGAAAGAAGCCTTAGTATATGTTCTGGCCATTTTTGTATGGCAGATATTTATGAAAATTTAAGTGGTAGACACATCTTAAAACATAATGCTGTACCTATCAAGTAAGTACAGTATTTATTATGGGTATTTTTATTATATGTAAGCTCTAAAATTATACAGTAATCATCACATTTTACAGAATTTTGGGAGAGGTAGTTGAAGAGGCGAAAAATGAAGAAAAAAAATACTTTTTTTTAGTGCAGTTCGTAACGGATGCTTCAATAACAATCTCACATGGAGATTGTTTCAAAATTGTTATAAAAAATTATTAAT